AGTCCAGGCCAGCCCAGATCAGATCCGCCCTGCTCAGCCCAGCCCAGCTCAGCCCAGCACAGCCTAGCCAAGCTCAGCCCAGCACAGCCTAGCCCTGATACTGTGCAGGCGACACATCTGACCTTTGACCTGCGTCCTGACAGGACTCTCCTCTCGGCCCCGACCTCTGCTAACCGGCTGGCATGGCAGCCGACGAAAGCTCAGATGGCTTGGGGCCAAAGGACTCCTGCCTGCACCTGTTCTGGGCTGGGGAGGCGGTTTGGATGCAAATACAGCCGTTCCATTCGACACCCTAACTGCTTAACTCACGTTGCCGGCCTTGACAGCACCACAGGGCAGCCATGGGACGCAGATCTGTAACAGGCGAGAGGTAGCACGTCACCACAGTTATGTTTGACGGCTGTTACCACGGAAATGATAAGATAGTGTGAAACCTCACTCACCCTGTATCTCTGCATGATATCCTGACAGCGCTATGATTTCGGTCGAAAATGAGTCATGCGTCTTTATTAATCATTAAGCACATTTGAATGCCTGCTCTGTGATGTGGAAAACCAGCTACCGGTATGTCTGCACTACTGGGTGTGAAAGAGCTAATTTCCCTTGTTTAACTGGGCACCGTGGCAGATTTAAAAGCTATTACTCAGTAGCTCACTGGGAGTGCTGATGAACACTATTGATTTTTTTCCAGTGTCTAACGTGCAAATGCTGCAGGGGCCACAGTAAACATAGAAGTGGCGTTTAAAGATGTTATGAGTGAGAGTAAGAGGTTAGGGAGCGCACTCTGATTACAGCGCATTGCCAGGTGCAGTGGATGATACCTCAGCACCAAACTAGTCCAAATGGACCAGTGTGAGATTTTCTGGTGACTGCAGTGCCAATCCTGCCACCAACCCCCAAGTTATTCCCTGTAAGCTGGAGGATCTCCTTATAGGGCTGGACGTAGATTAACATCATACCCAGGATGAAGCAGTGACAGGTTAGGGGCCTTGCTCAAGGGCCCAACGGAGTAGGATCACTCCCAGCATTCACGGGATTCAAACTAGCAACCTTCCGATTGTTGGCACAGATCCCTCACCTCAGAGCCACCACTGTACCCACCCCAAGGGAGTGAGAACCTCCAGGATAACGTCCCATGATGGCGTCTGTGACTGGGGCAGAGTGCGTGTGAGATGGCATCTAGAATAGTTTCAGCAAGTAACCAGCTGTGTGCAGAGGACGGGAACATAAGCGGAGACTCCTCAGATTACTAAGTGTTACCACCGAAGACGGGAATCGCTCCTGTACCCAGGTCGTGCTGCCGTGTTCCCGGAAAGATTGGCATTATGTCAGAGGCCACAACTCCAGTGACTCCCCAGGCTGCAGCCTGAGGAATCCCAAGATCCCATGATCCGATTTCTCCCCTGAGCTGCCATCGCTGTGCTCTTTTATTTGCTTTTTATTCGGATCCTTTCTGCCATGGCCCACGGCACTTTTTAAGTGGATTTCTCTCCTCTGCTCTGTTCTTCTTTGTAACAGAAGAGCATGAAACTAGACCCACACAGGTATTCCGGATGTCAGTCATCTGACAGCTGCTGGGAACATCAGAATAATACAGACTCCCCAGGTGTTTTTAGATGGGGGGGCTGTTTTGAATACCCAACAAATGGAATTTGTTTGCTGTTTGCTTGTTTGTTTCTTGCTGATAAAAGTCAGTGTTAGTTTAATCCGGGTGGGAGGGGTCTGGAGTGACCATTTGGTCTTTGTGTGGTCGTTGCCTTTCTAGAATGTTTACGTTCTGGAGAATGCAGCATAATGCATGCGATGGGCGGGTCTAAACACGACAGGGTGCGAGGTCGTGGCCTGTAAGCGCCATCTTGGTGTGGGAACTACATGTTTGTTTACCGGGAAACAAACTTCTTCCAGAGTCAGGGTGGTGTTTGCCTTGCAGTGCGTTTTCGGCTGCCGGGACAGGCCGTCAGCTTGTGCTGTGTTTCCCTTGTAACGTTAATGGCCGCATTCCTGCCCCCGGCTGTCCGCCACTCCCCGGCGCCCCCCCCCCC